TGCGATTTCTCTCCCCGTTAAGTGCTGTCCATTTTGGGACATTATACTTGATTTTGTATTATTTAAGTACGATGCACTTATGAGGGTACATTCGCCCTCACGGCCGCACCTAAAAGAGCCCGCACCGCGCTTTGACAGCTGCGGGCGGAGACGACCGTCATGGCAAGGACGCCCTCTAATAGTACCATAACATGGGGCCTCATGGGAAGCAGTTGAAGCCACAAACGGTGTACGAGGCGGAGCTCTTCCAGGCGCGGCAAGCGCAGAGGAGGCAAGAGACCCGAAGGATGGCAAGATTCGCGAAGCGTTCGCAACCCGCCGCAGCGACCCCATCGACGAAGGCCAACTCAACTCATGACGAAGGCAACAAAGAGGCTCTGGAAGAACTACGTGACCCAGATGACCTAGGTGCGATGCCACGTTGAAGAGTGCAGCAAGCGACGACGGCACGTTGGCCCGGAAAAGTCTGCGCACCGCAGCGCAGCGAAGGTCGCGCGTTCACTTTTGTCTAGGCCAACGCGCCGTCGTCGCAAATACTGGTAAACAACTCTTCGCATTCAAAAGATCAACTGTTGCACGCGGGCCCTGACGCCAACGAGCCTTGCGGGCCTTGACAGCTTCCATCGCCGGCAGCTGCGCCGTCTACTAGGAATCTTTCACCCGAACACGCTCGGCGACGTCGCGCTCTACAAGGGCTACGACAGCGCCCCGCTGATCCCGCTGATCGCGATCGTTGCCCGCCAACACTGGCGCATGCTGGGCCACGTGCTGTGCCTGAAGGAAGACGTCCCTGTCAACATTGCCGCCGCCCGCTTCTTTGCCACGCCCGATGCACCCCGTTTTTGAGGCCGCACCAGGATCACGTTGCTGATCGTCCTGCACCGCGACCTCCAATCATCGACGCCGCCTCAGTCGCTGGCGCCTCTCGAGGACTTCAACCAACTGCGTAGCTCGCCGCCGACGGCAAAGCCTGGAAGGAATCTACGGAGCTTGCCATCATGGGCCTCACCCGCGGCCACAAGCGCCCCCGGGCGACTACAGAGGAACAAGACGCACCCCGCGCCGCCGCCTGCGCAGCCACGGCCCAGTGAACGAATGAAGAAGATGAAGAATGCTAGTTTATACGTATGCGAACTCTTTGTAACAACGAAGATAACACGAAACACGTTCATACTACTAGTATATATTCAAAAGTTCCTACCAGCTCACCCCGCACGGGACCTGTTTGTGTGCACTAGGAGTAAAGACACCGTATCGGCGTGTAAAAGTTAGATATATGGTGGATGGACTAAATTGTCTGTTCATATTCGTTCATGAATAAGCGGCATTCGTTGACGAGGCTGTCGGCGGCGTAAAGGAGGTCGTTCATCGTCCGCGTATCCAGTTGATGCAAGGCCAGTGGGCGCCGCAGAAACGCGTCGAGGAGGGCAATGACTTGAGTCTCTTGCAGTTGCTTGATTGCCTGCTGCATGCGCTGCACGACGCCATCAATGCCATCGATGCGGTTCGCATGCGTACGCAGAGCTCGTGCCAAGGCCGGGTCATCTCCATCGCGGCCGTAGAACGTAGGCGGCGAGTGATGCGATCGCAGTTGAATGGCTTCGGACGAATCGTGCATCGCAGCAAGCTGATGGAAAATTGCAGACGAAGCGCTCAAGTCGCGGGCACAGCTCTGAAAGGCCACCGCGACCGACTGCATCGCGCTCACGCCGCCCTCACACATGGCCTTAATCACATGGGAGACGTCGGTCGCGTAGTCGTCGGTGCTGCCGACGGCGTCGCGCCCAAAGCCGAGGTACGCAGTCGCTTGGTAGCACCAGGCATTGACTTCCCGAAGTGCCTTTTCGTATGCGACTTGGCTGTTGAGGGTCAGCGTCGTGGCGCGGCCAAGTAACTCGCTGCCGGCCCGAGGGCAGACACGGATGTAAAGATCGATGGTCTCCTGCGCATGACCGAAGAAGGTGGCCGGCCGCACACTGTCGCGAGTGAGCGAGCGAAAGATCTGCAGGGCTGTTCGGAGCCGGTACAAGCCGCGGGCAGGTCCTGGGGCGTCGGTGACATCGATGGAAAGTGTCGGCACGGATGACAACGCAACGGATGCGTCATAGTCGCACCAGAGGCTGGAGAGAGCTGCGGCCACCTCCGTTGCGGAGGGCCAGAGCGTCCCCGGCTGCGGTTTGGATGTCTTCGGGAGGCCCACCGCGGTGATGGATGTTTCGGAAGAGGCCCGCGGGCGTAGGCAGTCGAAGGAGTGTGTCCAGCACCCACCAGAACCAAGCACAGACTTGCGCAAGGCAGCGACACAATAGGCGTCGAAAGGTCGTATTGAAAGGCGCTGGGCATCGAGGAGAGAGCCCGTCGGGGGTGTTCAGTAAATCGTCAAGTGATGGCAATTTTTTGCTACCCTGGCACTTGATACATATCGATTTGTACGGATAACATGCGGAAATGATCAACTTCCATGACGTCACTTGTGTTGCAAGGTTTCGTGACATGGAGCAAATACTACGATTCACAGTTGATGGAATCGATCAAATAATGTAGGCGAGAACGACACTGATCTTAGGACAACATGGAGAGGTTTCATCTCGTGCGCCATACCCAACGCACCAACGCATCCAAGAGATAGATGATGTCGACACCGAAGCGGACTGCGCCAGAAGAGTTTGACCGCAGACCAGCGTCGTGTAGTAGTCGTGCGCTGGTTTGACACTGACGTTGCGATCAGACAGCCCGCCACGTCATGGGACGTGAAACGCTTCGAGCCACTACGACGGTTGTTCACGGCCACCAACAAGCAGATGTGCTCAAGCCCAACGAGCAACCCGAGGCATGCCCACGACAATGACCAAAGAAAGACGACCTTGACCGCGAGTTCGCCTCGCATTTGAATCTGCTTTGGACACTGTCCTGATGCGTCGTTGCGAGTCACGACCAGAAAACTTCTTGGTCGCCCTCGCTATCTGCACACATCCTCTCATTGATGATGGTGTACGTACGTGTACTGGTAGCCAGCTAACCTTAGATTACGATGCCTCCTACGACGCACTTCTCATGCTATCTCACCCACGTGCTGATTCCTGCGATCGGGTTTGCTTCGCTCCAGCATCCACGCGTCCAAGAGACCGAGCTGCTGAATCTTACTCGAGCATCCTGTTTATCTTTTTTGGCTTCTGCCAAGTAGCGCAACACGAGGCGCCGGCATCCTGTCTCTGTCCAGTGAGACCATGACACTCAACGTGGTGACACTAACGTAATGAAGAACGTTTGATGGCATTCTTTGGTTTCAAGGGATGCAACTCAATACCAAGTTGCGTGCAATTAGTCGTAGTGGCTTCGTCGAGATCTACGAGAGCATCTTTTCTCGCTTCATGACGCGGTCGTCAAACTTGACGAGGAAGACCGTCTTGTCCGGCTGCCCGTTCCCGACGTCGACGGTATGCGCTTCGACTTGCGAGTACTATGCATGGCGCGCATCATGAGAAACACGAGATTTTTTGGCGTCGTACAAAGCCCGCCGAGTCGAGGATGCCACGGATGACACCGGCAATGTACGCGGCGCAGTTGAGCTGGCCCATATCGACGGGCACCGAGATGAACTTGTTGGTGAGCGGGTCGAGCTCGTGGATCATGTCTACGTCCAGTCGTCATAAGCCTCGTCTTCCCATCGTGCTGGTGCTACATTCGTTTTCGTTTTCGGTGCTGCGCTCGAGCGCATCCGCGGCCTTCCCAA